CACTCACTAAACGGAAATGGAAAAGGTGATGCCTCCTAAATCTTCTCCTGATGTGCCTCAAGGCTCTCACACCAGCACTGCTAAGCATGGAGGCACCAAGAGAGCAAGCATCCGAAAGCAGTAGGTGAATTGGAAGGGGAATGCCCTGTTCCTTGCTAACTCCTGTTCATTTCTGACCTGTTACATGGCTTTCTGATTCTCTGGGGCATGTCTGCACAGCAGCAGCTCTGTCGGTGTCAGACAACCTGCCACACCAGCTCTTTTAGGTGCTAGGCTCCTCCGCTCCTCGCCCAGCTCCCAGGTTGTCCACCTCCAGCTTTCATCCAGTGTGCTATTCAATTAATTAAATACTCTCTCCTGCAGATTGCTGGCTGAGGGTGACACACGTTTAATGAACAGCTGCAGGTCCCTAATCACATTGGCAATTAGGAGTGTAATTAGAGCACTTGCAAATGGTTTTCATGCTGATAAAACATGACAGGATAGAACGCTTTCACTCACTGTCAGCTGTCAGGCAATCTGTTATCCATCTAATGGCAATTTAATTACAAATTCCTTCATCACCTTGGTTTCCGGTTGCTCTGGGCTATGGCTTAGCATCTCTTGGGTCAAACAGCATGACCCAAGGAGGGGGATTTCAGGATGACCAAGGAGCTCTTCCCTCCACCTGCTTCAGGATGGAGGTTGTTGCAGAGGCCAATAACCTGCTCAAAGGGTCGTGAAGCAGCCACAACGTGGTGAAGGCTCCCTTCGTTTCACCTTTGTCTCCAAGGCTTCCTGAGCTAAGGCAGCACTGGGAATCAGTGCACACATAGAAGGATCTGCTCACCTCATCCTCATTGCTTGCAGACCAGAAGGGTCCCACCTCACTGGGGAACCATGCAATGATCGTGGCTCCAAGGCTTCCGAAGTTCAAGGCACTGGGCTTGAATTTTGGGTGGCCCTGTGTGGAGCCAGGAGTTGGATTAAGGTCCTTGTGAGTCCCTTCCAACTCAAGATATTACATGATTCTGTGATACAGCTGCTCCCCATAACCACCTAAGAGACATCTGATGTGCCCCAGCCAACAGAAGCCATTTGTCTCAAAGTCACACATGGAGACAGCGAGGAACAGAACAAAGGACTTCTAGTGACAACTTAAGGACAAAGATCAACAAGCAACTGCCACAGAACACGTACTTAAAGACAATCTGTAGGGAAAGGCAGTGGCAGATAACCAGCTCTAAATTAGCCAATAAAGGGAGATGGTCACAATCCAGTTAAAGAAAGAAAGATTAGCTTACCTGCCCCAAAGACCAGGGCTCATCAAATACTCCATCAGAAGGGATCCCCGCATAGAGAACCTTCCTTTGGGGCAGCCAGCCCTTAAATGAGACTTAGGGAGGGGTGGAACCTGGTTCACACGGGTGAATTGCTTCCACCTGTGCTCCCAGGGCTGGCTGTGTCCCTTCCCAAGGTGCTCAGGCATTGCCTTGGCCATTTCCATACATGCTAGAACCCAAATGTCACCCGAAACACAGAACCCACCAAGAAGTGGTGATGTCTGCATGTAATGCTGGTGAATCCACAGAGGCAATTTTTGCATTGCTCTCAAACCTCACAGCTGGTGCTTAATTCACCTGTTAAAGCTGCACTGATGCTGCAGAGCAAAGAGGCACAGGCTCTGGCTGCAGGTGCACCTGGATGGCCACGGGCCATGTCTCTGCTCCCAGTCCCATCCCTGGGCTGGCTGTGACTTTCTGGCTGCTTCTAAAGCTCCAGGGAGCTCACGCCTCCTCCCAGCCTTCATCTGACCCAGTTCTTCCTCGTTGCCATGGAGAACTGGGCTCACTTGTGGTTTCCCAGCCTTGTCGTGTGCCCAGGAGTCTGGCACTGGTGGCACCGGTTGGGATTGGAAGTGCCTCTGCGTGTCCTGCTCTGCTGGTGTCACTGCTCGTGGATTTTGGGGTGCATTCAGCAGTTTGTTGGTGCTGCCCTGGGGTTACAAGAGGAATGAGGACATCTGTGTAGGGCCATCCATTGTGATGCTGCACAGCAATCCTGCTGGTTGGGGTTGTCCCGAGCAGAGGACACAGGGTCTGTGTGTCCCCACCATTTCCCTGCACCTACTTCCCAGGCACCACAGACTTCAGAGGTGATCTTTGTCAGCACCGTTTCAGCCCTCTGTCACCCAGAAACACCTCCACGAGAGGCTGCCTGCTCTCACACCTTCACTCTGTGCTGTCTGTCATTGCGCAGCCAGGCCAAGGGATGATTTCTGCATGGCTCCTGGGTCAAGGGACGAACATTTTAGGGCTGCTGCTTCAAATGAGAGCTTAAAATCCCAATTACGGTTCTACTGAGGAGGACTAATTTGGGGCCAGTTCAGACACCGCCGATCATTAACCCCATGCAGTCAATCAGGCATAATTTTCCATTCCAACCACCTTTAAAGCCACGTTTCTCTGTACCATTTTCTTCCCCCCATCCAGGAGTTAATTCGTTGGTTAAAGGAATTTCATTCGTGGTTTGAGGGACTGCAGCTTTTTATTCCCAAGCAGGATTATCCCATCCCCGTGCAATGGCTGTCATTAGCCAACCTCCACAGACGAGGCAGCCTTTTGATGTCACAAACCATACAAAAATAATAATTTGTGCTGTCTCTGTGCTTTGCAGCTTCCCTGTTGGGGGATGCTGGTGATGGAGCTTTTTTGCATCTCCTATTTCACGAACTCCTGGCTGGCTGAGGAAGCAATTTCCAGCTCGATTTGTTGTGCTTGTGACATGGAAGCCTTGTGTGTTTCAAAGCAGATTCCTGGAAAGCAGCGGCGAAGCCGATTTCATCTGCTCAGCAAAATCCTTTTTCTTTCTACGAAGCAACCTGCCACGTCAGTAATGGTTTTAAATTGACTTTCGCAGGTGCCCATCCACAAGAGATATTGTTTCCTAGAAACCAGAGGTTAATGGAGAAAGGCTTCAAAGGGAGCGAGGAGGGAGAAAAATCTCCTTGCTGCTCTGCGTAGCAGCAGCTGCTGGATGGGAATAAAGGCAGCAATTATGGCTGCTTGGTGGGCAGAGCAGCCTCTGCCCTGCGGAGATGAGGAGGGCAGCACGGGGCCATGCCCTGCTCATTGGTGGGAATGGCCCCACCAGCGGGATCTGCTCCCCAGGGTGATGGGGCAGTGTGTTCTGGCCATCCTGTGCCACGCTTCTGTTATTAGCACAGGGAGGAATCATCACTGCTAAAGGGAACAGTTTCCCTACTGGGGAAGAGATACCCTCTGTGGGTATGGGAGCCATGCAATGGTGGCCATGGGTGGCTGCAGCATTACCTCCGGTGGCACTGGGATTCACCTTAGGTGTTCTGCACCGTGTGAGGATTTGTCTTGGAACCATGCATAAAAAAAGAAAACTAGAGAGAGAAAAAGAGAAAACTCACATTATATCTGTTTGGGTAGAGTCTAGAAGGAAATCTGGGAAACGTGGGGGCAAATGGAAAACCCACTCATGTTCCTTATTGTCTTTGCCATTAGAAAATGCCTTTCTGTGGGGATGGCTGGAAGCTTTTGATGGTGCAGCACGTATCCCAGCCTTGCTGTGTACCTGTGGGCTCCAAACCCAGCGTTTCAGTGGGATCAATCTTCCAGCTGGGGTATTGCCAGGCTGCAGTGGCCCATGTTCAGTTTTCTCCCTCCCCCTCTTGCTTCAGGTGCCTCATGGAGGTCCCCCAAAGGCTGAGCTGTGTCCCCAGGCCCACAGCATCCCAGCTCCCAGCACAGCATCACCCTTCCTTTGGAATTACCCATCCAGAAGGAGGACTGAAGATGCACTGAAGATTGCTCCCAGATGGCTGCAAAGCACTCGCTTGAACTTGAAAGGCTTGAGGAGCCATTAAATATGAAGGAAGGGTTATTTTTTCAGGAGCTGAAGCTTCTCTCCAGCCCTGCTGATGTCAGGAGCACAGCTCCAGGGGATGCTCAGGAAAGCAGCGTTAGGTTCATTTCCTATGGAGGCTGTTTGGAAACCCCACCTGCAGCATTGCAAGGGCACAGCTTTGTCATCGCCGAAGCCCCATAGTGCTGCACATCCTGCCCAGCTAAACCTACCCCTGCACGGTCACTCCTGTATTTAAGCTGGTCTGAGCTTCTGCACACACTGCAGATTGGCCCCACAATGAAAGCAGCTCCTCTTTCTTGAGGTCAGTTTCCATGTGCTGGCACTGAATGTTTAATGTGAAAAAGCCTGGAGCAAAGGAATAAAGTAAGAAATATTTAATTTTACAGCGTTGGTTTGCACCATATGTTTTCCCCTTCATGAATATTTTAGGCACTTCTGCTCCACAAAGGCTTTCTCTGTCGGCTGTCAGCTCGAGTGCCTTCACATCCCTTGGGCTGGGACCAGTGGGAAATGTCACTGCACCATTCCCCCTCTTCAAAATGTCCCTACGGATGGGCTTTTGGGGATGGTGCTCCAGCATCCCACACGTCCTGCCGCCCCAGGAGCTCTCAAGCCTGGGCAGCACTCCAGGATGAGAAATGCGGTTTGTAGGATGCATGGGACACACGGCATTGTCCCCAGGGAGAGCAAAACCCCCCAGCACCACCAGCTGAGCGGCCTCACGGAGCGTGTGATGCTCATGGGGCTGAGCCAAGCTCCCCGTTCCCTCACAATGCTCGTAACGCAGATGGGCTGATGGTTGAACTGGATGACCTTAGAGGTCTTTTCCAACCTTAACGATGGGCAAAGCCCCCTTCCATCTCCATGCCTGGTTCCTTGCTGTGCCTGTGGCCCAGGAACCCCCAGGTCTGCAGATGGTGCTGTCAGAGGGTTGGGGATGGCCAGAAGGAGCACTTAGTGCCACACGGAAGCCACACGCCGCACAATCTCTGCCACGCAGACACACTCAGTAACGTATATATATTATATTATATTTTTATATATATATATATACACATTAACAAAGAATTTGCCCCCCCCCGCCTCCCCCCCCCCCCCCCAAAAAAAAAAAAAGAAAGGAAGAAAACATAAAAAGGTAAAGCAACCCTCCCCCAAAACAAAACCGAAACAAGTATGTTACACGTGGAAGAGAACATGGCAGACAGGGTTTTCCCACGTCCCCATTCTGTACAGTGGGGTCACTGGGAGGAACGGGGCTGGCAGCACCCTCAGTCCCATGGGACCCCAACCCCCATGCCCGTGGGAAACGTGCTCATTCATAACCGTGGGCCATTCATAAACCCAGATGGGCTACAACTGCCCGCGTGCCATCACACACCGGTCGGGTTTTTGTCAGTGGGATGTGGGCTGGGGGCACAGGCTGCAGCGGGGTGAGGAGCAGGGAGGGGCCACAGCTCCCATTCCCCGGCAGTGCTGGGTTTTGCTTTTCCTCAACCAGGAGAAGACAACGTGGTTGACCCAGATGCCGTGGGAAGGAGACGCGCGGGGATCCCGCAGCAATTAGTGCAATTTCATCAGGTGCAAACGTCACGGTAATGGCTCGTGTGCTTTACTGGATGCGCTGAGTCCTCTGGCAATAAGCGGTGCCGGTGCCAGCAGAAAGCTTGGCCCCGGATTGCAGAAGCTGAAATCCATCTCCAGTGCTTGGCCGTTTGCTGGAGGTTGGCGCAGTGCGAGCAGCACACAGGGAAAAGACCCACAGGGCTTTGGGAACAAAACATCCAACCAAAAAAGGCAGCTCAGCCTCGTAAAGTGAATTGTGTTCGTGTGCTTAGCTGTGGGGCTGGCAGGTGTGACCCTGCTGCTTCCCCACCCCGTGCTCTCACATGTGTCCATGCAGTCCCTGCGTCCCTTAGTGACAAGTGTTCCCCAGGGTGGCTCACTGGTGGGGACTCCTCACTCAGCCCCTGTGCCCCCTCCCTGCTGTGGGATGAGCCCCCAGGTGCTGTCGTGTGCTGTCTGAGCCGGCCACCCACCCCTCTGGGGCTGGGCTTTGAGGTAGTTTCCTATCAGCAATGTCCAAGGGTCTCTCCCCATTGCAACAACAAAAAAAGAAAAGGCAAGGAAAGGACGGGCGGAGCTGGCCAGCCTCAGCTTTGGTCAACATGTGATGCCACCAAGGTAAGACCAGAGAGAAAAAAGGAATTTTCAACACCATGGACCAAAGCTTGTGCATCAGCACATCCCATGCTGCCACGCTGCCCCATGGCCTCATTGGTCCCAGCTTGGTGCTTAGGTACTGGAGCACTGGTGGCAGCTCATTGGGGAACCAGGGCTCCTTCGCCACAGAGCAAACAGGATGGCTTCTCCACGGCAGGGAACAAAGTGAGTGCCAAGATTCTGGGGTCTGAAATTGAGCTTTTGGGTCAGAAAGAACAAAGATGGCCTTTGAGCACCTCTGCTCAGCATGGGAGCTGCATTCTGTCTGCAGGGACAGCAGACACAAAGCCAACAGAAGCATCTGTGCCAGGGGCACAAAGCGCCTCACCCAACTCCTAGGAAACACTCATGTGGGGTCTCCCTTGTGAAATGGGGTCTCCCACAAGACATGAGGTGGGCCGGAGGGATGGGGACCACAGACCCAGGCAAGCTGCCAAATGTTGGTCAAACGCAGAGCCCTCCCCATAGAACAACACTCAGATCCCACCTGCCTCTCGTGGTCTCCAGAAAGCCAATCCCTGCAGCCCCAACCCGCAGGGATGCACCAGACATCCCCCCCTGACCACCACGGCACCTGAGAACATCACCCAAAAGCCCATCCTGGATGCAGGGAAACAAAACCATCCACGTGACGATCTGCCCGGGGAGAGCCACGAAGATGCTGCAGGAGCCTGGCGTGCACACGTGGAGCCGGCCAACAGGAGTTTATTTTCAGAGGTTCTTTTGTTTTCCCCTTAAAAATAAAACGAGCCGCAGGTGGGTGCCCTCCTGTTGGAGCATTGTGGCTGCTCTGTGGCTCGGAGGGCTCCTGGTGCCCACCGCCAGCCCCGGCCCACATCACCGGTACCGCCGTGGGGCAGGATCGCTCCTAGTGACAGGCTTTCATCCCTGATACATACGGGGACTCCTGGGGCCTGCAGTTACACTCCTGCTGCTCTGGGTAATCTATGAAGTCTGGGGCAGGCAGACCCGAGAGGATCATCAAGGATTTGTTCCAGATAGTGAACGTGGGGCACACCGGGAGGATGAAGGAGACCTCGAAGGTGTGCAGGTGCAGGGAGTTGGCCGGGTCATAGAAGGAGAGCGCGTTGTTGTCGTAATCCAGGAGGACGCCGAGGCGCTTCATCTGCGGGTGCACCTCCACCAGCATCTCCTTGTTGTTGTGCCTCACCACGAAGTTGTTGTTGCAGCGGGAGAAGACCCAAGATGAGGAGTTCTTCCCGATCCACTCGTTCTTGGGAGCCGACTTGTAAGCCACGCCGATGGCGTACCTGGGAGAGAGAGGAGAAGCTTTGCTCAGAGACCTCACTGTGAGACTGAATCTAACCCCAATGTGCGTTGGGTTGTGTTTCACCAGCCTGTGCAGGCTGGACACATCTCTGGCTGCTTGCACAGGAACGCATGCCAAGAGCCTGAACCCAACGATGGTGCCATCAAGGCAAGAGCTGCATTGGTGAGGTCAGCAGGGGAGAGAAATAGACACGTAACGCTTCACCTTGCAGTCTTTTTGGGGCCATCCCACAGCCTTCTGGCAGAGAGGAGGCGCTCACAGAGCACTGCACCCACAGCCAGCCCAATGCCAGGTCCCAGCCATGACAACAGCGTCCAACTCTCCAACCTTGAGTAACCCCAGACTTGAACCCCAGCACAGTGCACGGCAACTCAGGGGATACTGAGGGCCTCCAAGAGATGGAGGAAAGGTCAGGGGGTGCCTACCAAGTGGAGGAGCCCACCACCACCTCCCAGTAGTGGCAGCCGCTGTCGATGAAGACGTTGCCCGCCGCACCGTAGCACCCGGTCCCACTGAACCTCTCTGGCGTGTGGCTCTTCTTCAGGGAGCTCTCGTCCTTCTCCATCTGCAGCCCATCGTTGGAGATCTTCAACTTCTTGTGGGCCATCTTGGGGTCCAGCTTAAAAGGCTGACCTATTAGAAGAGGACGTGTAGGTTACTATTTGTGGGTGCTGTCATCGCTGTGCAGGCAGAATGCAGGCAGGAAACATCTGCCCCAGGCTCTTGGTATATTTCCCCATGAGCCAAAGGCGCTACTGGGATAGAGATAGCATCCCCAGCATGTATGATCCTGGAACACTGGAAGCCTTTTTATTGCACATTGTCCCGTTCATATGCCTCATTCCCTTGTCCAAAACACTCCCTTTTGCTTGCTGTTAATGTTGTAAAATGCTGTGGCGGAGAGAGGGGATGTTTCCAGCTAATGGAAAAGGCACTGATGACACCATTAAGGACCGCGCAGCACTCTGGGCAAGGCGTACAGCCTGCCTGAATCCCCTAACAGATCCATACTCTATTAGCAGTAATGAGAGTTATACGAGCAGAGAGAAGGGAGAATAGACCCTTAAGTGCTGCTATAACAATATTGAATCACAGAAGAAGTAGTGCAGCATCAAGCATGTCCCCAAGTCCCCATCAACAGCCGACACAGCTCGCTCCCTGCAGTGCAGGCTGCTATTACACTTTACAGGAAACATGCCTGAGGTTTTCCAGTGTTTCTCTGCTGCCAAACAAGGGCTGGGACGCCTGGAGAAGACAGCTTGGGCTTGGAAGCAAACCAAAGGCATTGAGTGCAGCCCGTGTTTGGCTGAGGCTGGAAGTGAGCACGGAGCCAGCTGGGAGCACACAGCCTTCCTTCTCCAACACAGCCAAGTCTGATGGATTCTGCAGACCTTTTGGGCTCGGAACACAGCTGCAATTCTCATGTTGGGTTAGCAGCCCTCTGACAGCCAAACCAACGTGGCTGTGTGACGTTCGCCTGCACAGGTGACGTAACTCAGTTGGTTTTCAAATCCCACCCTCTCAGCTTTTCAGATGCAACGCATGGCAGTGGGGACCTGGCCCTGTCACATCCTACAAACATCCTACAGAGCCCGGATGTGATTTGGAGAGGGATCTGTCTAATTCAGCACAGAGCAAAGCAAATGGGGCAGCTGCTATAGGACCACTTAATAGCTGAAACCCACTGCCTGTTGCTGGCAGCCCCCACAGCATGCAGCCAGCCACCCCTCCTGCTTTTTCAGCTGTGCAAACTGAGGCTTGGAGAGGCACAGCACCTGGCCAATGCTTCCAGCAAGGCTGTTGGAAATCCACGTCTTAGGAAGTGTTGCAAACAGAGCCAAGGCAGTGTGCAGAGCTTTCCAGTGCAGCCCTGTAACTGAGCTCATCCACATCGCTCTCTGCTTGCTCTGGTGGTTCACGTTTATTTTCCTTGAGAAAATTCATTTATTGTGAGATAAATGAGTGGGGAGGGCTGAAAGTAAAGCTGCAGACTGAGAGTGATCTTATCCTACAGCTTCTGGAATATTTTGAGATCTGCCTTTTCCCAGCAGTAACACAGAGAGACAAGCTTGGAGGAAGGGAGGGATAAAAATACCCAGCTTCATCAGGACAGAGGCACACGCGTCCTCTGGCTGGAGCTGACCCCTTTCTGAGGTCAGCAGCAAAGAGGAAATCCTGGCCTTGGGCTTGTGGGACGTGCCACTAGGACAAGTTAAGGGTTAATGAAGCCTTGGGGCAGGCAGAGACCCCTGCCCAACGTGGGCAATGCCCATCCCCATCCTGGGTGAATTGCTCAGTTCTCTGCTCACCTTACCAGCACATTGCAAGGAAGGGGCCAGCAGCATCACCAGCTTTTGTCAAGGCTTCATGGAAAGAAACAAAGGCTGGAAAGACTCAGCAGCTCCTGCTGACTGCCCTGAGCTCACCTGTGTTAGTTGAGCTCCAGCTGAGTAAATGCCACAGCTGGTGTCATCGCTGCTCCATCCGTCCACCCCAGTGCCACCAGCACTGCAGCACAAACCTGGCTGTGAGCTTCCAGCTGGGCCATCCAGCTGTGCAGTCAGGAACAGCACAAGACCCCTGGCAGAGGTCTGGAGAGCAGCGACTGTCGTCCTCCCATCACTTTGAAGAAGCAAAGCCACGATGCTGAGTTAATCTGTTCAGACCTATGAAGCTTCCAACACTCCCAGCTTGCTTCGGGATCGCGCTCATCTCACCTTGCTCCATAGGAAGCATCAGCACTGCCACGTTCCTGCTGCTAACAGCAGAGCTGCTCACACTGCTGCAAGCCCACCTCTCTAATGAGGCACTGTATGACCCTCAGGGTCTCAAACAGATCAGGAAAAGACAGAAATGAGCATGAGAATCAGACCTGCCCACAACGGTCACGGTGAGGAGCATGGAGAACATCTCCCATGCGCTTCATTTACGGCCATCCCTTGCACAGTCCCTCATTCTGTCAGTTTCAGCCACTTTTGGACACTTGCTAATAATTAAGACCTATCCAAGAACAGCTTCAGCAAAAGGTTTCTTCCTGTCACCAGACCAAAGCTCTTTTCCCCCAGCTCTTCTGCTCAGGGCAGCTTGAAAACACAGATTTAGTGGCAGCGCTGATGCTGCAGAAATCAATGTGCCCTGACACTGACCTTCTGTGGCAAAGCCATCTCTCCAAACAGCGCTCTGGGAGCACAAAGGAGGCTGTGAAACGTGCTAATTGGCCCTGCCCGTCGAACTGCTGACACCTCCACGGAGCTTACAGCAGCTGGAAAGTGCATGCTGTCTCCTAATTGTCCACTGGGAAAGAAGAGAAGCACGCAGCTCCGCGTTGACAAGGGCAGCATCCCACACCAGCATTTCATGGCTTTCTGTTGGAAACTCTGGGCTATGGACCATCCTTCAACCCCAGCTGGGGCTTTCTCCAGCACCCACTGCTGCAGGGCACAACCACCTACAGTTCACAGGTATTACAGCATCCCGTTGACTTCACACACAAAATCCCAGAGCTCGATTTGTGCTGGATGCTCAGCACCACGCGGCACCCCTTGACCTGAGGTTTGGCATGCAGGAAGAGAACATCCCTCCTCAGTGCCCCCTGCCCAAGGACATCAGGCAGGAACGTGGCCTTAGCGGGCACGGTGGCAATGGGTTGGTTGCTCTTGGTGATCGTAGAGATCTTTTCTGACCTTCTGTGATTTTGTGAAAATACAACCTCGAGAGGAGGCATCCCTTCGCCAAATCACTGCACCTCCTTTCCTCTCATCTCCCTGTCCCAGATGGGTGCCACCCCTCTCCATCCAGCTGCCCACATCCTGCTGTACGGAGAGGTGGGACAGGCTGCAAGGCACCAGGCACAGCCCCAAAGTCAAGCTAGCACCGTCACACAGAAATCTGGCCAAGGATGACCAATGAGCCCCTTTCATGTGCACAGCCCATCCCTGCGGCCAGAATGACAGCTCTCTGCTCCAGAAACCTGGAAGCTTTACAGCACATAAAAGCAGGCAGCAATAGGCGAAGTCAGAAGGTAAGCAGCAAGGCTGGCCATCAGCCACTGGGCACCATCAGCCACCAACCATTGGTGGCCCGAAGAGCAGCAGAGCTGCAGGCACTGGGACTGCTGCCGAAGGAAGGAGCTCCTCAAAGCCACAGAAACACAAAATAATTTGTGTAGCGCTTCAGGCAATGCCTGCTCCAGATTTTAACAAGTGCTGCAGACACATCTGAGCGACAAGGGGAGTTCAAAGCCCGACTGGGCGCCGATTTATTCTCCTAAATGGAGTTCAGCTGCCAAGCAGAGCGCTCAGCATCATGCCCCTGTCTCCAGCAAATGACACTTGGCTAAAAAAGCCCCGGAGTGAGCTCTGTCCCCGGGGAGCTGCTGAAGCAAGAGCCTTTGCTCCCCTCCGTGCTGCTGTGTCACACCGCTGCTCCTGGCTTGTCAAGTCCCCAATTTCTTATTTCCACAGCGAGCGCCTCTCAAGGCACTTAGAAAGCTCTCAAAAACAGCAGCCGTGGGAGGGATGCATTGTTAACAAACAAGGCAGAGCGGGATTGGAGCCTGCCCATCTCGGCAGCTCCCCCACCCCACCAGTGCACCGACTCCACTTCAGCTCATTTTGTTTAAGGTTGCGCAGGTTTCGCAAAGAAAACGAGGAGGTGGAAGCAATAAATCATTTCAAAAGCCTACTCAGAGCTTTCAAAGCCTTGAGTGATTGCAGCGTCACGGAGAGAAGCCCGAAGGAGCGCTGTGCTCACCAGGCTTGGAGGGAATGGCTTTAAGCTAAAAGAGGGGAGCTTTAGGTCACAGGGTGGGCAGAAATGCTTTGCTCAGAGGGCGGTGAGGCTGTGCACTGCTGCCCAGAGATGGGGCTGCCCATCTCTGAGGTGCCACAGGCTGCAGGTGGGCCCTGAGCTGGTGGGATACGCAGCCCACGGTACAGGAGTAGGGCTGGGTGGGCACGAAGATTCCTTCCAACCCAGCCATTCTGTGACCCTATGAGCCCCTAAACCCCAGCAGAGAGCTGATTGGAACACGTTGGGTGACACAGCCCTGAGACAAGTCCCAGCAGGGCAGGGAGGTGATGCTGGGGATCACTGCTCCGCTCCCTGCCATACGTACTGTTGGTTTTGAGCCGTGCAGGCTCGCTGTTCCGGCTGCCCGCCTGGTTGATGGCCTTGACCAGGAAAATGTAGCGGGTGCCGCTCTGCAGCCCGTGCACGGTGTAGTGGTTCTGCTTGATGTTGGGGACGATCATCCAGCTGTCCATGGAGTTGTAGAGACCTGCCATATAGGAGAAGGGGAAAGGGTTACTCCTGGGTAAGGGAAAGGGCTCCTTCTGGGAACAGAAATTAATGAGGAGACTGTGGAGGCCCCGAGCCCTAACGCTGCAGGGGTTTGTTTGACAGATACACTGAAAGCACAGCGATGTATTAAAGATGGGGTGACTCCTTACAACCCACAGCAGGAGTTGGAACTCCTTAATCTTAAAGGTCCCTTCCAACCTCAGCCATTCTGTGATTCCACAACACAGTGCTACAGGAAAGGAGAAAAGCACTGTCATGTGCAGCAGGTCCCAGGGCAAGAAAGACCTTCTGAGGGCAAAGGGAGCTGCCAGTTCTGAGGGCAACAGCTGAGCTAGCACCAAGAGGCTGTGGGCAGCTGGTGCCCCATAGAATCCACTGCAGCTACAGAAGCTCTGTGCTATCAAAAAGCAGCTCTGGGGCTGATACTGCAACGTGGGAGCGCTGCCTTCAGCATAAGGAGAATCAATGATGCTCAGTGGTAGGAGCTGGGGGCTCCCTGCAATCCAGCAGGTCTGGGGGCGAGGTGTGAGACGGCATGTGAGGAGTGGGCTGGGAAGGCGTGCTGCTGGAGGAGGGATTCCAGCATCCTGCCATCCATGTGTGTGTGTGCACAGCTGTGCGTCGGGAGCCGGGAAAACACTCCACAGCTCCTCCTCGAAGGCTCACGTGGGGACAGCACTGGGATTATTCCTCCCCCGCGGCTCGCTCAGCCAGAGCTTGCAGTCGTTGTCAGCAAGGATTTGGTCTGAAGTACACATGGAAGCCGCCTAGGGGAGCAGAGCAATGCTATCTGAAGTAGAAAATCCAACAGCAATGATAGCGACGGTATCCTGCAGGCAGAGCTGTGGCGGCTGTTATCTCCCTGCAGCCAAGAGCCACCTTGGGATCCGGCCCAGCAAAGGGCAGAGTGGCTGAGAGATGGCAATCATGGAGCAATTCAGCCTCCAAAGCGGGTGTCCTTTTCAAAGCTACCAAGAAAGGCTTGGCCTGGAGGGCTCTGAGGGCTCCTCTCCTTGCCAAAGCTGGAAAACATCCTTTTTATCGCAGCGTTTGTCATCTACACAAAACACCTGCGTCCTGCCGAGCACTCAGATGTAAAGGCAGCATGCAGGGGAAGCTGTGCACGAGCAGCTGTGTGTCATGAGCAGGCACCTGCCCTGCTGGAAGCCCACAGGTGCTCTGCTTGGTGAGCCCTGTGTGCTATTTTCATCACCTCTTCACGCATGGGTTCCTGCAGAACTCAGACTCTTTCATTGCCCGGTCCTGAACACGTTATTGCAAGTCACAATATATTATTCATTTTCTGCTTGGAGGTGTTAACTGATGTTTTCTTTCCTCCTTCTTCAAGAAGGAGGCCAAGGAAGCTGCTGCAGACACCTGCCCCTTCGGGCTCTCCTTGCTGCTCATCACCACAGCCTTGTCATTCCCACCTCTGCCAAAGCCCATCCCACCCTCAGGCACTGAGCACAGGGCACGGGGTCCGTGCTCTCCATCCCATGGGGCTGAGCCCTGAGTGGGCTCCAGTCCACACTGAGAGTGGGGCAAAGACCTCCTGGTGCCTCTCAGCCCCTGAACGGCTCAGTGGTCCTTCCTCAGCTGGCAGCTGGCACGGGGATGGAGGCTGGGGATGCCTAAAATGCTCACCGAGCTCTGAGAGAAGAGCAAAACATTGGAGAAAAGGTGTTTGTAGGAGAGGGGGAACACAGAGCAGCAGGGTGGGGACATCCGGATGCTGTAGGACCAGGTAACTAAAGGCAATGTCTGGCCAAGAGGAAATCAATCAGCATTTTCCACTCCTGGCTGTAGGGATGCACGTTTATCAGCTCTGGGAGCCGCCAGCAGGACGTGGCAGGAGAAGCTTCCTGCATGCAGCACAGGGCACTTCACAGCCTTCCTGAACCTCCATCTTCCTGTGAAGTTACATAAGCTAATGGAAGCTCAAAAAGTCCATGCAGAGCATCTGGGGAGTGCATCCTCCAGCACTGAGCATCCCGAGGCACAGCCAGGAGCAGAACATCAGTGCCTGGCCATCCTGCTGGGATGCTGCTCTCTCCCAGGGGCACCATTCCAGGATGGACAAACTGGAAGATGTACTTTTGTGCTCCAATTAACACATCCATGCAAACCCTCTCAAATTGCAGGAATAAGGCTGTATCACATGAAATCACAGCAAACAGCCCTTGGCTTTCTGACCAAGCCACTCTTCTGCCCCTCCGTGGAGACCCACAAATTTCCCTTTCCTCCAAGTGCAACCAAACCAGCTTCTGTGTTTGGCTTTTAAATAATGTTTTCTGACAGAGAATGATGAGGAAAATCTGATGGAGAGTGCAGATGTGACTTGCCCACCCTTGAGGGCTGCTGGGCCGTCACAGCTCCAAGCCCTGCCCTTTCCACCACCTCTCCCCACCATGGCAATCGCTTGGTGCTCAAGAGCTGAGAGCCCATTTAGATCACTTTAAGTGTCATTTTAAACCATCATTTTTAAGAAGGGGGGAAAATTAAACAGAAACCCCATCCCTTAGGCATTTCCTGCTGTGCTCTACCTGAGCCCCCGGCTGATGCACCAGGCCAGCTGTGCCCTCCTGCAGAACATGAGATCAGCATCCCCGCTTCTGCGATGCCTACTTTTGGGTTGGGGGCTGCTCAATAAGCAGCGACTTACTGATGAAGTTGGCTTGCCCGGTGAAGATGGTGTACTGGAGCTCGTAGGAGCTGACGCTGAACTCATCCTCCGAGATCCAGTGGACTGTGATGGTGTCATGGGAGGCTGTGCAGAGCTCCTCACGCACAGACGGAGGGTTCGGCGCTGCAGGGAGTGATTTCAACAAGCTGCTGTTTGCTTGCTGTCATACGCATTGGGCTTTTTTTTTTGCTCTTTATGAGGCTCACGCAGGGAGCAGAGCCTCATTTTACAAGTTAAGTAACAATGTCCTCACCTCCCCACAGCCCCCAGCCTTCCCCCTGGCTCTCCAGCCCCAGCAAGCAGTTTATTCCCATGCCTCCTTGTCTGTCCCACCCTGGGGGCATCACCTCCTCCATCACTGGTGCAGAGCATCATTTTTTCCCCCACTTTCTGAACTCCTGTGGTGCCGACAGGATGATGGGAAGACATCACTGCCTTGGGGCTTCTGCTCTGCTATGACCCACCATTGACCCGGTTTAAAATCCCCCCTCCCAGCACTCGGTGGGGGGAAAGTGGCAGTGCTGGGGGGCAGAGCTGGGGTTACGTGCCCCTGTGCTCACCGGTGAGATAATCCAACCCCTCCAGCAGTTTCTTCTCTCTGGAAAAATCCAAGGCGAAGTTTTCAAAGGCGTCATTAAAATTGATATCTGGTATCAGAACTTGAGAGGATGCAGTTGCCATGGCGACCCTGAAAGGAGAGAAGAGCCCATCAATCCGCATCGGGGTGCACTCTGCTCCCGACTCCCGACTGGTGGGAAGGGGGTGAGCAGCCCCACGGTGACACGGCATGGCAGCAGGGGACAGCAGGTGATGCAGCACGACACCCAGCGGAGTGTCAGGAACAGGGCATAGAGCTGGGGGCCCATCACTGGGGGGTCCCACCCCCATGCCCCAGCTTGGCTCTCCCCACATCGGTGCTCTCACTGCTATTGCCTGATTGGGGAGCCAGGCTGCATCCCTCAGCACCCTTCAGAGGTGCCACGCAGCTCCTGCCCTGCCACCACCAGCAGTGCTATCCGAGGGCAGCACTCGGGGGACACAATGGGATCACTGCAGGCTATCTCACAGCAGTTAGGCAACCAGGCTGCCACCCACCTCTCCGCCACGTTCCGGGCTGTCTGCAGGAAGCGAGCGTGGTCATTCTCCTTCAGGATGTGCTCTGCTTGGTTGATGAGGACCGTGGAGCGCTCGAGGCACTGCCGGCAGTTGGCGACCTGCTGGGCCAGCTTCCTCAGCTTCATCACCTGTGGGGTGAGCACAGCAAGGCGGTGGTGCTCAGCTGGATGGATGGGAAAGGAGCGCCAGTGTTGCACTGTAGCATAGGGCACAGCAGCCTCTGCTCCACCCCCACTGGTATCCCAGCAAGTCCTGTGCAGTGCTGACCCACTCCAAGACCCTCTGACCACTTGGTCTCTTTCCTATGGGGCTCCTTGGGGAGTATTTACTGACAGACAGCACCAAGCAAGCCACAAAGGAAGAAACAAAGACAACAGGCTTGGTGACACATCTCATGGGAGTACCACGGGTGCTCAAGGGAACAGAGAAACCCAACCGAATGTCAGTTCTCAGAAGAACCAATGGGGGAGAAGCTCAGTGAAAACCCCTTAGAAACCCTCAGCATGCAGCAAGGACCGAGCTGTAGGAACAGTGTTCATCCCTGGCATCGCTCACGGGCTGCAGCACTCACGTTTCTGTGGGGTGCACTGAATTAGAGCAGGCAATGAGCCAGTCACAAGACTGGAGGTCCATCCCCATTCCCTGTGCTCCATGTGCCCACCCACAGTCATCCCACCCCCCGGGCACAGCTGGTGCTCTGCACTGCTCACCTGCACGCAGCTCATCCTGACATCAATCCCTCCTCCCGTTTTTCATCTTTTAATGATAACCCCCTCACTCTGCTGCATCACCCCGTGCCCCCCCAGCACACTGTCAGTCCATGCCCATAGTGGCTGGGACTTGTCAAGCAGCCGAGCTGCAGTGCTGGCAGCTGACAGCAGCTGCTGGAGCTGCTCTCCCAGGTGTCAGCGCTGTCACTGCGTCCCCAGCCAGCAAATCCCACTGATTCGATGCTGATAGCCAGGCCTCTCACAGAGCACTGGGTTCCCAGCTCCAGAACCACTGCGTGAGCTGCACACAGACAGCATGGGGGTGGGAAGCCAGCAGATAGGCTTCAAACTGCTCCAGTTGAGGAAAGGGAGGCCAGGGGGCCCAGAAATGAAAAGACAAGCTTCAAGAGAGGAGAGAGCACAGCACCAGCCCCGGCCCTTGCTATGATGGCGTGCCCAGGCACCAGCTCCTTCTGACCACATCCCAGCAAGCAGCAGAGCCCGCAGCGCTCATCTCTGGGGATTCTCAATCTTCACAAGCCTCGGACTGCAGCTCTGGTCTGTGCTGTTTGAAGGCAGAGCAGCTCTGGTGCACGGGGATGCGTCCCCACACGGCATCACCACCTGCACTGCAGCCCCAGGAGCTCACAGCCTCCCCCAGGGACACCAGTACCCACATGTCTGTAAGTCCCTGATGGCAAAGGTTGCAGGGGGAGGAAAGGGGCTGCTGTTAGGTGAGCATCGCTTCAAGCTGCCTCCCTGCACAGCTGATGCTTTTTCCACTGTAAAACAGAGGGGTTTGTCTGTGGAGCGAGCAGCCACCCACGCTCTGTGCTGGGCTTCTCATTGGGAAGAGCAGCCCAGAAGTGGAGAACTCAAAGGTAATTTAGCACACTGCTTCTTGCTGTGCAGCCTGAGCATTCCCAGGCAGCCACCAGCCCCAGCTCTCTCTGCTTTTCTTTTTTTGTGCTTGTTAAATTCTCCACTGCTTGCAGCTCAGGCTCCTGAGAAAGGCTGCTTAGAAACCACCGTGTCTCTCACACCTCCCATCCCGAGCAGCTCAGAGCAGAGATGCTGGGAGACCCGGGGATGCACAAGGAGCACCATGCAGGGGTTCCCAGTGGCTGTGCTGCGCTCCCAGCTCACCCACTGCCAAACAGCCATCCTCTCACACTGCCCCACATCACACACGTGCAGCAACGGTGCTGGAATTGCAGCTGCTCAGGCACCAGCTCACTGCTTTGAGTTCAAACGCAGCTGAGTTCCTGCTGCCAGTGTGGGGCAACACATCAGAGCCTCTCTGTTCTCCCCAGAAACCAAGCAGGAGGAAAAACCAGCTCTGAGCGCCAGCGTTCTGCCTGAAACTGGACAGCGTGGTCAAAATGCATTCGGGGGAGAGGGTGGGAAGTGAGAGGCAGACAGACAGATGGACCAGCAGAAGGCACCGTTACATAAAATATGTTTCCTGAAGTGGCTGGGATAAAAGCACTCGTTTCCAAGCTTCCACCCCTGCAGAAGAGGGTCCACAGTGCCCGAGGGCAACACTGGCTCTTGCACAGATGCACATGGGGTGAGCTGATCCCCAGCCCTTGTGTGCAGACACCCAGTGCTGGAGCGGTGATGCTCCCGGCAGGACAAGCAGCACAGCTCAGCTCTGGGTGCTGCAATGGGTGCACAGAGTGGGAGCCCAACGGATACCCAGGCTCAGAAAGGCAGGAAAACTTGCCTAGGGCTACAATGCAGCGCAGGGCTGGGATGGCCCTTAAATATTAATTCTACATTATTATATCAGCAGTGCAGTGATAGAAAAGCCCTGAGGAAGCTGTCTGGGCTGATGCAAGCGACTGTGCAAGCCTGGTGCTTGCAGGAGGAGCCCTGGGGACTCATGCAGTGCTTACCTTCGTCTCCTTGATCTTGACGGCGATGACCTGCTTACGCTGGCGGATGATCTCCATCAGCTCGTCACACTCCTCCATCAGCTTGGCCTCGTGCATGGCTGTGTTCACCTGGGCAGGGAAAACAAAAGCATGCATGGTTGGAGCTGCCAGGGTGCTGCTACAGGGCACTGCGCTCCGAATAAAGACCAGGGACCGCAGGTGGCCACGCTCCATCAGCTGGGATAGGAAACGGGATGTGAGCCCCTCTGGCAGCTCCTACTACCATGGCACCAAAAGGGAGAATGGAGTGAGCACCCAGCACAGCTTCCTGCACTGTGACACCTCCCAGACCCAAGCACTGATGGTAGGAATACAACCCACGGAATGGATCTGTCACAGTTTAAAGCCTGTGGCTGGAGAACTGCCCTGGCCACGTCTACGCTCAGCAAGGAGCTCCAGGAAGGGCCCTCTCCCCTCCGCTTTCCTTCCCCACCTGCAGCAATAGAGCTGCAGCCTTCATTCCAACCAAAGCAGCGAGGAAGTGGAACAAAGCCATGAGCTTCCCCCCGTGTCCACGTTCCCACCTGGAAGCCCAGCAGCGCTGGGAGCACGAGGCCTTCAGGGAGCTGAGGCAGGGACCCGAGCCCTGCTGCTCAGCCAATTAAACAGCCAACTGCAGGGCAGAAACAGGTTTTCTTCACATTGTGCTCTCAGAGCGATCTCCAACAGTGGAGAACTCCGCAGCCATCCCTGAGCAAAACACATTTGCTACGAGATCTTTTTTTTAAAGCTGGCCAGCAGGTTATGCAATGGCCAAGTGGGAGACAGCTGACGGTGTGCGAGGATAACTCAGCTGAGAAAAACAGGATAATCTTCAAAATCTGCTGCAAGGTAGTGGCGGGGGGTGGGAATCAAACCTAGGATTCAGAGCAGCAGGAAGGCAGTGGAGCAATCAGAGCTCCACATCCCTGAATTCCCCAGGAGCACAATACAGATCCCAGCCCCATGCAGACCTAACCCCCCCACCCCCCCTCTCTCTGCTCCCTCCAGAGTGCTTTCCCTGTGCCTCAGCTCCATGGGGAGAGGTCCTGAGCATGGCAGGCAGTTGTAGAAAGTGCTGATGGAGGAGAGGCAGAGCCCCATCTCTGAGCTGCAGATGGTGAGGAGCAAAATGCAGCTCCACAAGCAAAAGCTTCTTCCCCCCTCCCCCCGTGTGTGACACTGTGGGAAAGTGACTCCAGATGGTGCACGCAGCATCCCTGCATCCTTGTATGTGCACATCCCCACATCCTGCATACTCTCATCCCTGCAGCCCTGTGTGTCTGTACTCACATCCCTGCATTGTTCCCACATCCCCATTTCCTACATCCCCACATGCTTTCCTGCACACCCACACCCCCACCAGCTCCCTGGATGGTGAGGCAGCTCTGGCAGTGCATGTGGGAAGCTCCAGGGCTGCAATATCCAGCCGGGGCCCACTGCAATGACTGAGAGTGAAGCAAATTCCCCTCATACTGCCTTAAGCACTTCCTGCATCATCCCACAGCACTGGCAAAAGCCCTGGCCCTGCAGCAGCAATCCTTGAAGCAGATCGGTGCCTTCGCTCCCTGGGAAGGTTTAAGGAACCTGCTGCTCAACTCAGCAAGTGAAAAAAAATAAAAATAATTAAAAAAAAAATCGATGGCCCATTAAGAAGTAATTAATTGCAACAGCCCCTCTCCGTGTATCACTTCAGCAAACAAAGCTGCAAATGAATTTGCTACTAATTGATGTATGTACTTTGGGACAACAGCGAGGCATTGCTGCCTTCTTCCTGCCGAAGGTTTCATGGGAGCACATTGCCCAGCAGCTGCAGCCAAGAAGCATGGCTGGCACGGAGCTCCCTTGCAAATACAAACAAGAGATGCCTGAATGTACATCCAAACAAGAGGGGCTTTGCAGATCAAGTGGTCAAAGCAGCAAGGTCAGCCAAGCCCCTTTCTTCGGTGGGATTAAAGGTGATCTCCTCTCTCCCATCAGCGCTCTCCTGTAATCCCTGCACAAAGCCCTTCCGTGTGCTGCTGCCATCAGCCCCACCGCTGCTCTTTGGCCCCAGCAAGCAGGGGAGATCACAATCACTGTCCTGACAGCAGGAAGGATGCGGGGAGCCACACCGCCTCTGTTTGGGAGCAGGAAGGAAAGCAAGGCCACAACAGAGACAAGAGGGTGGGCAGTCTGCAGGAGGGCGAGCACAACAACCCTTGAGAGGTTCAGAGGATGAGAGACTCAAAACTGCAGCACCTCCTCCATCCAAAGGGGCTGAAGGCTCTTCCCAGCGATGGGAACACCAGCCCTGTGCCACAGGTGAGGGCTGCACTGCACTCCCAGAGTGCTGAGGATCACTACTGTGTGCTCAGATGCTCCCAGCACTTCTGTCCTTGTCCCCTTCCAAGCTGCAGCTGCCTGGCTTTGCTCCTGTTCTGGGACCTGCTGCAGTCCACATCATCCCCCAGGTGAGAGCACACCCCTGAGCTCCCAGATCCCTGCCAGCAGCTGTAGGCTTCACACTGCATCCTCGCCTGCACCTGCAGAAACTTTGGTTCCATGATTATGACAGCATTTGGCCAGCTGGGGGACGGACAGATGTCCAGGTTCTGCTCTTTGAGATGCTGCAGCCAATATTTTTTCAGCACTTCAGCCCCCATCAGATCCCAACTGAGCTCCAGATGAAACGGGAACACAGCTGACCCCAGGAGGACACTACAGGCTATGGGAACACATAGAAATACAAAGCAACAGAGCCTATAGATCTCCTCCCAGCAGCTCACAGTCACACCAGCACCTCCCCCTTCCCACCCTACAGATCCATGTGGAATTTTCCATCATTTGGGATTGACCTCTCCAAAGTGGCACGGTGCAGGCAATGCCTCCCACCAACCCTCACAGCCCATCCCACCCCTTCCACGGTCCCACTGCTGTGTGAGGGAGGTGGGATCAATGCTGCACACCCCCCTGCCTTGAGCTGTGCTCCCCAGTGCCACACGCTGCGCTCACTGACCTCCACTTGCTGGCAGATCTGTATCAGCTTGGCCATCTGGTTCTCCAGTTCGCTGTTGCGTTTAACCAGGTTGGTGAGGTTTGTCTCCAGGGTTTGCTGCGGGTCCAGAAAACCAGGGATGGAGAGAGAAAAGATGACAAAACAAGATGAGAGAAGTGGGAGCACTGCATCCAGCAAACCAGACCACACATCACCCAACACACTGCCAGAGGGAGCAAAGCGTTGGCTAACTTTGTGCACAGGCTGCCCAAAAGCCAGCAGAGTTTGGACAACCCTTGCTAGCAAGCCCTGCCTTTTCAAAAGGGTAGAAGGAGCTTTTCCACCTCGATTTCCAGCTGGGAAGTCTGCCTGTAGGGACTGAACAGCTGCAGTTCTCCACCCCTCCTCATCCTCAGTTGATGATGGAGATGAAGGGCTGGAGGAAGGATGAGGCTGCCCACACCGCGCTTTGCTCTGTGCTCACGGGGCTGTGCAGCCATGCAGTGATGACAGAGGATGGAGCAAAGACACCTCTATCCGTGGACATGCAGTGGACCAGCACTTTGGGGTATCCATAATTCAAGCAACACTGCCATGCCATTAAAATACGTGGTCTCACTAAGAGGAAACGCTTCCCAGCAAAGCGCTCTCAACCTGTTGCACTGCTTGTCGTGAAAGCGATAGCCTATTAATATTTGAAACTCCAGGGCTGAGAGAGGATCCCTGCAGTGTTTTATTCATACCCAGCAAGAAAGTGCAGCCTGAGGCTTCCACCACGGCTCCAGCAGACCCATAAACATCTGCACGCACGGGTAATTTGGGGGCGAGCTAGCCAAGGCAGCTTGAATCATAGTCATAAAGCACAGGCAAAGCACTCATTCCTGAAAACCACTGGCTCCTAAAATACTCCCAGCTCACTCACAGCCCTGCAAATTGCTAGCCAGTGGCTGGTAAAGCACAGTGCTGAAAGACAGGCTGAAAGAGGCAGCAGTGCAGCTCCGGGTGCCTTCATTGAGCTGAAAGCGCTCTGCACAGCAGTGCTGCAGCGATAATGCAAGAGCCAGCTGCTATCAGCTCCACCACCACCTCTCCTCGCAGCTCTGCATCATCAAACGTCACCTCACCAAGCATCCCACTCGTTAATTATCTCTCTCATCGCCGACGAGGCTGCATTGATGTTTCAGCTTTGAAACTGCAGCCGATTTCACGCTGGCAGAGGGGGCACTGGGGAGGGGGGAGCAGCCCAGCAGCACGCCTGCTCTGCAGGATCCCTCTCCTGGCACACCTGCCTGAGCGTGGAGGTGCAACCTTCTCCTTCTGTTCAACAACGTGCTAGGAGCTCCGGCTGCACCAGCTGGCTGTTTTGTAGGCATTACAGAAATTACAGCAATTACAGGGGGTTCGTTTAATTGGATCACAGCGCACTCACCACTTCCCCACACATCCACCTTCTGGCTCGAAAGGTAGAAGATTTGGTTTCCCTACAACTGGGAGAAATGAGAAAGAGAAAAGGGAACACCACAGAATGGATCCTTGAGCCAAAGTCACTGCACAAGGGGAGAAGGCAGGCTGCAAGTACAGCAAGGACCCTGCAGGCAGCAAACCCCTTCCTGCTGCAGTGATGCCCAACTGCAGCCAGCCCAGTGGGATGGGCAGGGAGCTCAACAAGGTGGCACGGGAAGCAACCACACTGACCTGCCTTGCACCAGGGCTGGGTTTCCACATTCGTCTTCACGCAGAGGCAGCCAAAAGCAGAGAGCATTTGCTCAACGATTTATTTCAGGACAGTAGTGTTGTTGCTCTTGTTCATTTATAATTGTTTGCAGTGGGACACACGGCCCGGCCCCCCTCCCTCTGTGCACCACAAACACAAACCATGTGTGCACACCAAGGTGCAGATGGGAAATGCTTCCCCCATGAGCCATCAGGATGCAGAGCGCAGGGTCTGCTCAGTGCACGCTCTGCTCCCATCTCTGCTCCCCACATGAGCACTGGGTGCAATGTTTAGTCCGAAATGCTGGTAGCAGTCCATCTCCCCAATGTGATGCTTGCAACCAACACCCAGCAAAAAAAATAATAATAATAAATAAAACCAGGGGGAAAATATGATCAGCAAGCTGGCTGCCTCTCTGCTAAGGGGAATTTCAGCAGACACAAGGACGAGTGACAGAGAGCCGCCGCCGAGCTGCTCTGTGCAGTTCCTGCATTGTGACACTAATGCATTTTAAGTCCCTTTGCAGCAATATGACCTTGGTAAAAGCTGAAAAGAAATGCCAGCTTCCTGTGCCCGCCATCGCCCCAACCAGCAGGGCTGACCTAGAAAACGAAGCCGTTGTTCTGGTGAAAGTCTTGTCACCGTCTCTAACGGCATTAAGAGTGCTGGCTGTCCCACTGTATAACCAACGAATGTACAGATGGTGTAATTAAGAAATATAGAGGAAAGTCAGGCTAAACAGGTTATCACACTGAAGAAGAATGGATGGAAAGCTTATCCTTGGGCTCACTGAGAAGACTCCAAGAGGAGCAATCTCCAGCAGAGATCCTTCCCCACTAGCAGTCAGCTCTTAGATGGGTCCAGGAGAGGTGCAGCCAGGCTCCATCCCTTCCAGTAGCACAGAATTGCCTTCACCTGTGCTCCCAGGGCTGACTCAGTGCTCAATCCGAGGTTCAGGCCATGATTCAGCAGCTCCCACAAACCCACCCAATGAAGACCCCACCCCAAAGCTGGCATCCCCCAGCCTGTCTGCACAGATGGGATTGGGCTTGCTTGGTGCTTTCAGCCTGAGCTCACCACCATCCCTTTGGCTCAGCCTATGATAGCGTTGCACCACTCTCCCTCCCCATCAGCCCCGCTGCAGCCCTACAGACCCCACAGGTGCCACAGAGATGCTCCAGCCCTGTCCCCAGCTCTCAGAGCCCTAACAGCATTACCCAGGCTTCTCCTACATGAGAAACCCACTGCCATCCCAACTTCCCCAAGGCCATCATGTAAGGAGACAGTAGGGTGAGTTTCCACCTTCCAACTGTCCCATAAGGGAGCGCCCAGCACTTCATAGGGGCTCTCTGATAAAGGAGAGCTCTTCCCATAGAGCAGGGCTTGTTCACCCTGCTCAGGAAATTCCTCTCCTCCTTCATGCAAGATCTGCATTTCGGAGGTCAGGAAGGGGAGTGCTGCTGAGGAGGATTGCAGTTGGGGCTGAAGGCAGCTTGAAAACCCTGCAGCTGGCTTAGAGAGACAGAAGGACACAGCACTGGGCTGCCAGCACTGCCAGCAGCTTCATTTGCACTTCTGAAGCCTTCCCATGGCTCAGCACTCTCAGAGCCCCACGCCACTGGGAGCACCCACGAGTTCTGAGAACATCCACTATCCCAATCCTCCTTTTCCATGATGCTTTCTGCAAATGCAACGTGCTCCTGCAAGCAAAGCACTGCTCAAGAATGGCAGCCACAGCTCTGCTGGGCCCCAAAGGAATGGGGCATGGACTTACAGCCACCCAGTCTGACCCCACTTCTCTGCAGCACTCCATCCCTGCGGACAACAGCAGGATTTCAACCTCTACCAATGCACTCATACACACGTAGAGTTTTGCCTTCTTGCTCCACGCTCCAGACTAAACACATGAGATACAAAAATGGCCACGGACAAAATTCACTGCTTGTCAAGCGGGGCTTCCTCCCAGAATCTCACCCTTTGGCCCCATAACCCCGAGAACACCCCAAAGAGGTTCTGCTCATCTCACCCCACAACCTGCAGAACGGTGCGGGGAGAACTGGCTGCTCTGGTAAATGAAAGCTGCGCGCACGGTTCCAAGGGGAAGAACAAAAATCACATGAGACAGTTGAATGTTGTCATTTCTCTGACACGGCTGATTACTTGCAGACTCGGTCAGAAGCATCTCTTTGGCAAGGACTGCCGTCTGGCTGCTTCGTGTGCATCCCCAAGCCGTGCACTTCCCCTGTTTGCTCTTTCTCTCCCCGTGGTGCTTAAGAAAAACAGGGACTTTCCTTCTGAAAACATTCCTCCAGGCAGCGATCCCGTAAGAGCCCCCACACCTGCAGTCCTTGGCACGAGCCGTCCTCTCACCACGGGGACACGAGGAATGAGCGCGGTGTGACGGATGACCTCTGGCTGCCAGGAGATGCTTTTCAGGGAGCCACGCTGACCTGTTCTCCTAAAAAGGAGAAGAAGGCCAAGAACGAGGCAGCTGGTGGCCCTCTGCTATGGGGTGACAGCTTGGTGGGGTGCTGCCATGGTGGAGGGTGAGTTTTGCCAAATCGGGTGTGATGGTGGCCGCTGGAGCGCGGTGATGCGACAGCTCCATAAAATGCTACGGATGAATGGAGAATTAGGAAGAACAAGAGCTGGTGGAGAGCCCAACAAGTCTGGATTTCCTGGGGGACCATCCTGGCACAAAGCCTGGGGCAGCACTGTGGCATCCCATCCGCAGCAGGCATCCCACAGCCTCCCGTTGCATGGGCTGCTCCAAGGTGACCCATCACCCACCTCAGCCTCTTGGAGCCGCCTCAAGGATCCCCGATCTCCAGAGCCTCCCCAACCCGAAGAGAAAAAAGAGCCCACAGAGACGAGCCTGGAGGGTAAGGCATCCCTGAGGGCTTCATCCCCATCCTCAACCAGGTCCTCAGCAAGGATGGCTGCAGGTTGGACCACATCCCTCACCCTAACACCACTGCTTCCCTCCCCTCCCAGCCTAAAACCATGCTAACGAGGGAGTTAACGAGGCTCTACCAGGCTCCCCTGACAAACATTCATCCAACAGCACCAAAGCGCATAGGGTTTATTTAGGTCCTTCTATGTTTACACTCTTTAATCTTTTCAAAGCGATTCTCCTACTACTGGATAATATCAGGGCTTTTTTTCTGTATCACCGCAGCACTGTTGAAAATTGTTTAAATATTTTATTAAATTCATCCTGACTGTGACAAGCCCGTTTTTATTCCTGAAGCCATGTTGCCACAATCGGGTTGTTTAAGCTGTCCTACTTAAATACACGCCGAAAGACTTCGCTCCCCGGTTCAGCCTGTGTGCTTTTCAACCTAAAAGGATGCGTTTTTCAGACATCTTATTAAATTTGCTACATTTGATGTAAAAATTCCCA